GACTTCCACTATCTGTTCAGTTATATCCCCTCTAATCCAGCTGAGTTGATTTTTGAGAAATTTTCTAATCCCCTCTGCTATTCTCTCAAACTGGCTTTGTAGTTCATGATATTCTGTTGCTTGGTGCCACCTGGATTGGGACTTTGAAAGAGACTTTGTTGTCTTTTCTTCTTTCCTTTCTATTGTTTTGTTTGGATTTGTGATGAGGTTTGCGAATGGTTATACTCTAAGGACTTTGCTTCTTATATAGAAAGATGTCTTTGGTATTTTTCAGTGAAATAATGTATGTGAGGTTATCTATAATCTTTGCCACAGCCCTAAGAACTGACTACATTTGATTAACTTGAGCTGGACAGATTCAGTTAGATTAGCCATGTAATTAAATTCTTCTAGAATATACTGTAGAATTCTCATGGTCACAAATGTGATCTATGTGTTGGCTGACAGTAAAATGGCAGCAATTATGCAAGTCTGTTAATATCAAATGAATCAGCTACAGTACTCTCACCCAAAATCAATTAGATATTAAAATACTACATGAATTGCTTTTGTACCACTTTTAATTGTACATAAGAAATCAGCAGTCCTTATGTAAATATTAAGTCAACCCAGATTTTGATTTACATTTAATATACACTAACTACAATCTCTATGTACATGATAATGATAGAAAAGAATTCAACTGTGATTTTACAATACTAGCAAACTGTTAAAAGATTCACAAATCTATATTATGGTAGTAGTACTAAATGTATAGAGGTTTGAAAGGGGGAGTGAAGGATGAAAACTTTGTAACCTTAAACTTTATGACAGGAGAGGAGTAGGGAAAACTGAAACAAAGACCTAATTGGTGAATATGAGAATGTTTATAGGATAACATAAAGGTAACAAAAAATTTGCAAGAAATAGAAGATAGAAGAAAAACAAGAAGAAAAAGAAAGAAGCTACACTGAGAGTAAAAATAAAAAAAAAAACAAGTAAAGAGAGAAATATCACAAAGGAAACAGGAAAAGAAAAACACAAGAAGTTAGGAAGACAGACAAAAGAAAACTTTCCAATCCCCAGGGGATAGTAGAGAGGACGGGAGGGAAAGAAAGAAGAGACAAAAAATTAAAAAATTCACAAACACAAGTACACACATAAACCACACTCACACCAAAAAAAAAAAGAGAGAGAAAGAAAATAAGAAAGGAAGAAAAATGAACCAATCAAACAACCAAATGAGGAAAGTAACAAAATCAAAAAGAAAAAGAAAAAGAAAAAAAAAATTCCCTGTGATTTCAAATGTGCAATTTTCTTCCAAGGTCTACAGTTTGGGGGCAATGTCCAACTCAAGAGTGTCCCTGTTCACCCAAAGGTAAAAAAATGTCAGATGAGGCCAGACTCATGTTGGATATAGTCACCAGAAAATAGGCTTTAGAGTGAGGGGACAAATTACGAGACTTTCAAATCCACAGATATGCAGGCTAAGACTGGTTTGTGACCATTTGGGTGTGGCCTGAGTAATTTATCTTAAACCTTTCTGGGTTCTCTCACCAGCCTACCCACAGTTTCGTGACAACAGGTATCTCCCATGGCTAACCTCATGCCATCACTGTTGAAGCATAGGAGGCCTAATTTGAGGTCAACCTGAGATTGGTCTGAATCCAGGTTCAGTCAATCCCTTCCTATAATGACATCCCACCACTTTCTCCAGGGAGATATAATGTGTGCTTGCACTGGAGTCACCAGTTTCTGTAGCAAAGAGCATCCACTTGGCCATATCACTGCTGTGTTTCTCTCTGAATGCCTCTGGAGACTTCTACTTTCACTTTCTCTATCAAATAAGGCTTCCTTTCTCATAAACAATGTAAGTTGGGAGCTGAGGATAAATACAGATTGTTCTTTTCTCTTTCTGAGTTGTGTGACTCTTCAGTTTGTCTGTAGGCTCAATTTTTCCAATCCCTGAGTACCAAAGAACAGCTTCCTTTTTTATTCCCCAAGTTGTTAGTATCAGGTGTCTGTATTTCAAATATTGGAGAGGATGGTTTGTTACTGCTTACACTTCTAGAATTTTCCAGAAGTCTCTAATGGTTTTTGATTTCATTTAGTCTTTCTTTAAGCCCAATAATTTGGGGGAGGGACTTTATTATCTGCTGCCATCTCTCTGTACACATTTAACATTATGGTACTATATCATGCCTCTGTGTTTATAAGACCCACTGAGATTTCTTAAAAGAGCTGTTTCAAATTTCCAGCCCAAGAATTTGTTTATGCTAGTCACTATTTGTCACTTTCAGGTAACAGTAAGTGAGGTCTGTTTTTCCCTGTAAGATGGGGAAGGTTGCAAAATGTGACTTCAAGCACCCATTAAAGGAGGAACTATTTATTAAAGTCTTAGTACTCTGGATTGAAAACTTGTCAATCTGCATCAATTGTATATATTTCTATGATATCTCTATAAAATTACATAGATTACATCAATCACACTCATCCCCCCTTATCCACCATCTCACCTGGTTTTGTTTGCTCCTGTATTTCCCATACATAATTGTACTGAGAATTTTCTTTGGGATTGTGGATAGTTCTGTATCACTGATGGTGCTGCTTTAAGTCTAAGTTTGCTTTGAAGCCACTTGCAGTATATTGTTACAGTCTAAGCACTAAAACACAGTCCAAGGTCTGCACTATCTCAAATCCACAAGTGCTATGTTGTTCAGTAATAACAAGAATATTACCTAGAAAGAGTGGTCCATCTCCAAAACCTCTCCCTAGGGTGAGCTAGATCTGGTTGCCTTAATCTCAGTATGGTCAGGCACTAGTGAATTATTCTGGGTAGTGTCACTGGAAGTGACCAGGCAATGGGATCCTTGCCATAGCTTGGTATCTACTTTCTTTTTCCACTCCAAACAGATAATTGTTCTTTGCATGTTAAAAAGCCTGATTCTAGCGGAAGAGTAAGATGGGCAGTTCAATGTCTCCTTGTGCCACTGAGCTATATACACAGCCCTTTAGTTGTAGCTCGTAGGAGCATTGTGAACTGCTTTCAACTCCTTTATTCTTCATTGTAAGAGAAGATAGAGATTTTATTCTCCACTTCACCATTTGTATGAATCACATGGATTGGCATACTTTAAACTTTCTTTGAATCACTTTGATCATGTATGAGAACAAGAGACTATTCAGAGCAAAGTGACAAATCTCATCAATCTGGGAGACTGAGGCTGGAAGATCTCATTAGAGCTTAGCCTGTAAAATTTAGCAATTTAGTGAAACTCTGTTTCAAAGTAAAATTAAAAATAAAAATCACTGGGGATTTTCAAAGTGTCAAAGGAGCATGGTTCAGTCCTCAATACACAGCCATCCGTGAAAATCAGACTAACAATAAAATGATTATATGCAGATTTCATGCTTAAGTGTGCCCACATCAGAAATCTAATCTACCTCTATTCTAATATAGAATATCAAACATATAACTTAGCATCAAAAGAATCAGAAACTCCAAATCTTGAGTAATAACAAATTCTCACAGAAAATCCAAGCAGGCAGTAGATATGTTTGAGGAATTAAAAAAAAATTCTATGATTTCTCATAAAATATGAACAGTTTTAATAACTTTTGACATTGTTTATTATCTGTGATTGGTGGATCTACTCCCAGAAGAGAAATATATGTGTAAAGCAGATATCCAGAGGTAACCTAGACTAGTATTATAAATGTCCTTGGATAAAGCATGGGTCGTCTCATCATCAGTTAACTTTCCAGCTCTGAATGAGTGTACCAACAAGAACAACTCGAATTGTTCTGATAAGCTTCTAATAAGCTGTTCCAAGTTTCTAAATTTCAAGTCTCTCCTCGAATCCTCCAAACTTCTGTGTGGTTTTATTGTGTGTGGGTTTAAAGCAATTGATTCAGGTGCTAGTCCATTGTACTATTTCTAAAGACCTCTTTGATTGAAAGACACTCTTCTCTACTTAGGACAGTGATATAGTCAGGATTTTCAAGGAAAATAATCTAATACAGGACACATAATTTATAGAGTTATTTTATAATAGTCACCTAAAGAGTCAAATATCAAATAGTGCAGGAGATCTGTCCACAGACTAAAAACCCAAAGAATCCAACTAGGAGCCTGGATCCCATGGCAATGTCCTCTGTATATCCAGCTGAAGACCTAGAGCCCATGACAATGCTCCCCATGAGCCTAACTGGAGCCCATGACATGTCTCATGCAAGTCTGTTTCATGGATCTGTACTGTGAATGCCCTAGTGTCAGTTGTGGAAGTGAGAAAGTGTGCATTAGTTGGATGAAAGACCCATACCAGCAGCGTGAGGGATCTGCACTGGTGCCAGGAAGCAACACATCATCTTCCCCTCCAGAGCCAGGAAGTGATGCTTAAAGTAAGGATCAGAGCTCCCCCAAAGTGAATTGCAGACATTTTCACTGACAACAAAGTCCTAAGCTCCTCCAACAATGAGGACAGCTAAGTTCATATCAGGAAAGCTAGCTTGTCAAATTTCTCTAGGAGAACCTACAGCACCAAGAGAATCAACATTACTTCTTTCTCTCCCATTCTCCTTTTATATCATTGGCAACAATCCTCAGATGAGTCTTCCATGCCAGCATCAGGCTGATTCAATTCAGCTGGGTTCTACAAGTTGATCATCAACTGTATCAGTCCACCACAGATAGGGATTCTGGTATTTTTCTCCCATCATTAACAGAACTCTACAAGTGAAACTTTAACTCTGGAAATTTTACTTGAGACTGTTCACCAGCTTATATTCAGTTTAGTTTCATTTCTTATTTTAAAGTCATACTAGTCCTCTGTGGTCATTTTTATTTCTAAGTATATCCATACTACTTGTGGGACTAGATCAGTGATTGTTTGTCTCATCCAGCAGCCTCTGAAGACTGAATGTGGACTGCACCCACTGTTTGGTTAAGTGCCCCCAAAAGAAAAGAAATAAACCTGATTTCCTTTATAAATGTGACTGTTGTCATGATGCTCTCTCCTCAGAGGCCCCACAGCTCCATCTGGCAGAGGGGGGCCATCGCTGTATGGGAAGAGTGGAGATTCTTTACCAGGGCTCATGGGCCACCATCTGTGATGACAGCTGGAGTATGAGTGAAGCTCACGTGGTGTGCAGACAGATTGACTGTGGCGCAGCTGTCTCTGCTACACTTGTTGGTTACTTTGGGTCCAGACCAGAGTCCATTCACCTGAATAACCCGGACTGCACAGGAAAAGAGACCCATGTGTGGCGGTGCCCCTCCTGGAGCTGGTACCAGCACAACTGCACTCGATGGCCAGCTGCAGGAGTCTTCTGCTCAGGTATAGTCTGTAATTAATCCACCGGGGTTGGGAGTAAGGTGAAGTGTGCCAGGAATATATATGTCTGAACTTGGTCATCAGAGATGGGTGGGATCTACATGACTGAGAGGTCTACCCATAAAGAGTAAATACTTGCATAGCTGATGATGCTAGGCTTCACCATCTTCACTGTCATTAAGACCCATTCTTTCCTCCATCAGTGCTATTAACTGGAAAATAGTTTATTCTAGTATCTTTCCAATTAAAATCAACCTTTATTTTTTTTCTGTAAGTAAGCTATAATTCATCTCTGCAAATTTCCATGCACACTCCCTTTGCCACAATCAGATTGTTGGAGAAAGGGCTAAGAAGGAGCCTATACATTACCTAGTTGCATTTCATGTTTCTATCATACCATAGGAATTACTTTTTATACTGACAAGTTTTACAGCTATAACAACAGGTGTAAATCAGTACAGGGGAATTTATGGATTTCTGAAAATATCCAGGTCTCTTTTTTGTGTTCAGACATTAGTTAAAGTGGTCAAAGATCTGTGAATGAAACACTCTTCATAAAATCTTCCTCCATCAATATGAAAAATGTTTCTCTGTACATTTTTCCTCCAAAAGAACGTGTACAGATGGACTCTGCCTTGTGACAGAATCTTAGTATATGTTAATTACACAATTCTGGGTAAACTGGCGCCTTCACATATACATGAAGAGTAAAGGTATCTGTAAAGATGCCACTTCTCTACATTTTTCCCAAGATCAACAGTAGCTTATTTCTAATTGCTTCACAGTATAGGAGAGACGCATTTGGGATTTTATGTTTTAGGAGGATCCGTTTGTTTTTCTCCCCACAAAATTTAAAGCTTTACACAAAAAACATGATCAGTGTTTTATGTGAGCTACATCCTCAGCACCTACTGAAGTTCTTAGTGCACTATAAAATATGAAAGGATGTCTGTATTATGAAGAAGGCACTATGGAAAGTAATTTTCAATATAACGTTCATACACTTTTATCTTACACCAATATAAATGCTGTGCAGAAAACTCAGATGTTCCTCCTCTGAAGCACTCTCTTTCCCTCCCTCTCACTATTTTCAAAACTTCCATTGTCTTGGCAAATTTCTGGGCCTCCAGGGATCATTATGATTTCTTCTTGCTGTGCTTCAATGATAAATTCACTATGTCCACTTGGCTTTCAACAGTAACTGTAGCACAAGAGTACAGGTAACTTTGGTCTTCAGGAACACACATGAATCTTTAATGTTCTCCCTGAAAGATCCAACAATGAAAAGATATTGAAATATTACAGTAATAAGACAGAAAGAAAGAGTTCTGGGAAGTAAAGAGAAAAGAGAGAGTGTTTTTTGTTTGTTTGATTGTTTTGTTTTGTTTTTTTGTTTTTTTTGTTTGTTTGTTTGTTTTGTTTTGTTTTGTTTTGTTTTTGACCAGACAATTCAAAAACGTAGTACATCAATTTTTTTTTAAAGAAATGTTCCTTTCATATAGTTCCTGGAAACCCTGTGTATTTCTGCCACTTGAAGGGTATATGCCAAGAAGCCTTTTGTTCATATGTGCCAAACTCACATCAGAAACCTACAGTTTTTTAGTTGCAAATCTCCAAGATCCTTATACCACCAGAGGAAAGATGTTTCCTTCTTGTTCTTGTTCTGTGGGCTTGGTTGCTTCTTCTCTGAAATAACATTGTATTTTTATCTTCTCATTTATGATGTGAACATATGAACTTATTTCTCAGAGATTCCAATACTTAGAATTTTGTTGCGTTTAAATTATGCTATGTGACTCCATTGGAGTTTTGTGGAATTTAGTTAAAAGTAGTTATTTGATTTTATACTAAGTAGTTATTTGATTTTATACTATGTGACTCCATTGGAGTTCTGTGGAATTTAGTTAAAAGTATTTATTTGATTTTATACTAAGAGACAGAGAGGAGAAGAAGGAAAGCAAGAAGCAGAAGAAGAGAGGAAAAAAGTTCACATCAGGTCAGGAGGACCAATTTCTTTTGAAATGACAAAGAACTAGATGGAAGCTATCAGTGTAAGTCCAGTATTTTCCCCTGAGAGATTGGGAGAGAAAGTGGAGGAGAGTTCAGGAAATCATATCTCACAATATCCATTCTGTGAAAGGACAGGTATCAGAATCTTTAACTTTATATTAAAGGAAATAACAAGAGCTATGGGATTGTATAGGAAATTAACAAAAATAGAGGAACAGAGCCCATATAATGAAAAATTCTTTGTCAAGTATTGTCTTATGACAAAAGTCAATGATCCATCATACAGAGCCTTGTCAACAACATCGTTGATTCCATTGTGTTAGTTGTGACCATTTGCACAAGATATATATAGTTTATACTTATTATTTCTGAAAGTCAGGATGACTGATGGGAAAATGACTCAGAAAAGTACAACTGAAAAGGCAAGATTGTTAATTCATTCATGTTTCAGGTACAACTTTAGAATTCTAGGCACCATTTGATGAAAATACTGCAGAGTTAACCGAGAATATGTCCCAAGGCTAAGATAGAGAAATAGATAGATGCAAATGAAGCAAATATGTGACGTTTCATTCTGTTTTATTCATTCATTGGACATCTGAATATTCAACTGAAGAGTTAGTGAAAAAATAGTATCTAAGTTTGTGTTAATATAGAGGTTCACAATCTATTGCAGTAATTGAATATCCCAGTGGGTTCTCAAATTTGAGCAGCTTGGGAAACTTGGCAAGATCCTCTCTTTAAATAAACAACCAAAATATACAATGGGAATGTGGCTCAATATGAAGGCTATGATTCAGTTACCAGTATGAAAAAAGAAAAAATCAATATGCAATATCTTATCCATTGTTAACTTTCTATTATCATGTTTTGAAATTATTTGTCTATGTTTGCATTGGTTTTCCTCTTTAAAATAAAGAAATAAATAAAGGGTTATTATAGGACATAAGGAAATTAGACCTTTTGTAATCAGGAAAGGGACCTGGGATGGATGGAGAAGGGAAAGAGAAGATTGGAAAGATGAAATGAGAGGGAAGAAAATGTGATATGCATCTGTACCAAATGTCCATGGTAAAGGCATTTACAGTTTTTCAAATAATAAACAAATGAATAGAATGAAAAGAAAAAAAAAGAAAATGTTATTATATCTGAATTCAATCCACAAATATTCTTGGGAACTAGAAAATCACAATATGTAATGAAAATATGAAAAACAGTGGTGAAACTGAAATCAAATCATGCATGGTTGGTGACCCTTGGTGGTGTTGTCATGACACCTAATGTGCAGATGGACCTCAGTGAAAACCAGAGCAGCTAAGGAAGCCATGGCTGCATCCATAAACAGTCGTTCAGAACTGTTCTCTGCCTGGGAATGGGGACCGTGGTGATTACCATTCCTGCCCCTGTCTGCCAATGTCAGTAGTGAAGTTTCAACTCACGGTTGCAAGTCTCATGATCATCAAAATATAGGAGTGTAAAATCTTCTGTAGGTGTGTTTTTACTTCAAAAGTAATATTAACCAATTTTCTATTCCTATCATTATATATATAAAGATTATTAGATCATAATGTTGAAGTTACTACCTTTTTCTAAAGTCAATACAAGGCTTCCAACTATACAATTTAAATGAGTTTATGAAGTCACTTTAGAACCTAGACTTCAATTTACTTGTTAACCATCAGAAATAGGAGCATGTCCAACTAGAATGTAAAAATGTGCTGTCCTAAAAAAATAGACTAATACATTTGCTGTTCATCCCGTATGGCTGGCTTATTGGAGAACAGATCATTGAACACTTTTCTTTTGAGAAAGACAATTCCTGCTCTAGTTATTTATTATTTTTGTCTATTATTTAACTATTCATGTTTGTAGTCAGACAACTCCCTCAATTTCTGAATCCATTTTTGAAATTTATTCCTAAGTATCTTCCCTCGATGTCTCCTAGTCTCTGTAAATTCTACTCATTAGTGGCAAGCTACTTCTTATATACTAACAGCAAAAATGATGAAGGCTCAAGGATTTAATCACTTATGATCCAGCTCCTCATTATTTGTCCTGTTATTTGTATGAGAAACAATGTAAACACCTTAGATATTTTAGAGTCCAAGCATGGTTTTTGCATTTTTATCATTTTAAATGTGAGCCTCCTTCTCATGTCTAAATAGGAAGAAAATGTCAATCACAAGATTTAAATAAATTATGAAAATATTTCATTCTTTGACAACATTTAATTATTGACATTATTATCCAGAAATAGTCTATTGATGAAATAATGAAAGCTAAGCATATTCTTTTCCTTAATTGAGGTCAAATTCACTGGAAAAATACAGACCTTAGGAAGAAAAAGTTTATAGGCAGGTGTACAGACCAATGGTAGATCAATAGATGTGCTTTGGATGGCAAAGGTATCAAAGGATCAGAATTTTGGTATTCCCCTTACCGAAAGGGAAATTTTGAACTGATGTTTTCCTGAATTCATCTTCAAACATTTTTTCATGTGATGCTAACTTTAACATCAAGTTTCAATGGATTTGCCATATGGCCCAAACCTGAAAAAAGAAAAGCTTTAGCAATGGAATTTAGCATTAACAGGTCCTAAGCCTAGATCGTGGACACCCACTATGGTTTGGGTTTTTTTGTTTGTTTTTTTTTTATACAGGGGTTAAAAATCATGACCTCATTCCTGCCAGGAAGGTGCTCATACTGCTGACCTAAATCCTCCTCCCTCACTGTGTTTTTATCTCTCACAGGATTTGTGCGTCTGGGTGGAAATTATGGACTATGCTCAGGGCAAGTGGAAGTGAATTCTGGAGGAACTTGGATTCCAGTATCTGATGTGAACTTCACATTCCCCACTGCCCAGGTCATCTGTGCTGAGTTGGGATGTGGCAAAGTTGTGTCTATCCTGGGGAACTTGTCCAGAAATGCCAACGAACAGATGTATAATGAAAAGTTCCAGTGTGAAGGGCAGGAACCTGAGCTCTGGTTGTGCCCCAGAGTGCCCTGTACTGGAGTCAGCTGCAAGCATGGTGGAGGTGTTGAGGTCATCTGCTCAGGTAAGACTCACAGACAGCAGTATTTTAACCTCCCTGGACAGTCCTCAAATGTTGTTTCTAACATTTTTTCGTCTCTCTGTGTCTATGTCTATCTCTCTCTGTCTCTGCCCCATCTCCCTCCTCCTGTCCTTTAAGCAATTTTTCCCAAACTCATTCTGTCATTCTTCTCTTCCCTGCCCTTTGCTCTATTCTTCCTCAGCTTCCTCTTTGCTGTCTAAGATGACCAGTTTTTATTTAAGACAGTTTTTTATAGGTCTCATACCTTTCTTCTACCATTTGATGTGACATTTTGTATTTGCCTTAGTGTCCTGTTGGTGGGAATTTTCTCCTCCTGTAAGAAGGATGTGGGGAGGGATAAGAATGATGAAAGGATGAAGAAAATAAAGATAAAAGCATGAAGCTGAGGTCAAATGGAGTGCTTCTTCTCAATAGGTCAAGAGACTGCTCAACTACCCCCAATGCCTTTATTTATACATTTGTCAAATGATACCCTATTGCTTAACCAGCTCCCTTCTTATGCCCCATGTTCTTAGCATTGGAACATTTGTTCTCTTCTAACAACACATTCCCTCAGGACTTTCCTTAGGTGCTCCATCCCTTTGGGACATTCCTCAGGCACTCTGTGCTTTTGACTTCCCATGTGTGAAGTATTACTAGCTCATTAGCTTGCAACACCTCCAATTTTCTGGTTTTTTAGTTGATTCAGTTGAATTTGGAGGAGCTATGTTTGTAGAACTCTTCAGATAACACTTTTCTGCTGGATGTTTAAGACCAACTTCATGTGAGACTTATTCCACTCAAAATCAATTTCTTGTTATCTATCAAGGTAAATTATCTATCAAGTTTCCTCAGGAATTATCCTGAATCCATGGACAGCACCTCTTAGTATTTCTGTCAGTGTCAGTCATATGAATGAGTTATGCCAATGTTTGACCAAACTTCTGTGAAAGTTTGGGAGATTTGTTTCTCCTAGTGACTCTTCTTAGGAACAACACATACCATAGATCATCTCCCTCTGTGATTCCATAATCTCCTTGACCAGTCTCCTTCAGACTCACCAAATTACAAGATATCATGGCAGAAGTTCTGTTATATCTCAATAACCCTGGAGGGCTGGAGCCAAAATATTGGCTGTACTCTTAACCCATTTATCTTTCTAATCTTTTGGTTTCTAAATCTCAAAACATCAAGAAGCAAAGTTTAATAACATTGCATTTTCATGGAGGCAGTAAGTTTAATATTACTATCTTATCTGAATAACAAACACCTTAGAAGATAATTTATAACCAATATTCCCTAACAATTATGGGTATTCAAATATTTCAATCTTTAAAGAATATTAGCACATAAAAGTTATATATTTTACACAGAACATTAGAAAGCAAAAATATACAAAAATTACAGCATGAAAATCATGTTGACATTTCATAACACATTTAACTTATTGTTTCGTTACACTTTTTAATTATATAGTTAATACATAAGAAGCTTTTTACCTAATTGATCTTTAATGTGATGTATTTTACATAAAGTTTAAAAGCTATTTTAAGAACTGGGCAGAACAAATTAATATTACCAAATAGAGTTTGAAAATCAGTTAGGATTGTAAGACAAAATGTCTTTGAACAGGGTGGGGCATGACATGCCTTTGTTGGATAAGGTGACACAATACATAAAAAGGTGTAGTGTTTTGCACCTTTTTGGGAACCACACCATACTGCTTCAAAAAGGATATTATCTATTTTACCAAGTACTTGATGCAAGATAAATAAGGATTCATGTGCTGGAACAATATCATCCCTATAGTGGGTAAAACAGGGAGATGAATAAGCCTGATGGACTGACGGCTGACACACACAGTATTGACAGAAAGTCTGACTATTTGCCATTCCTTGGGGCAGACAACACCACTGTGACACACAAACACATGAGAATTTCAGTCAATATTTATATGCTTCTTCTTTACAATCTCAGCCTGTTTTTGCATAAGACCATAACACTTTTCATAGACTATCTTATAAATATCTAATGCCCTCAAATTACTTATTTATTTTATGAATTCATTTGTAAATTTTAAATGCTCTTTCTTGTGAATACTAAAATTCCATTGGAAATATAATCTATTTAAAATAATTTGAATGCTGATATCTTTATTTCAAATATATGGTTTTCCCTTTTAAAAGAGGTATTAAAATTATTATTTTTCAATGAGAGACCAAGATCTTTCAAAATGTCAAAACATATAGTATTTGTTTTAACCTAATTTACCAAAAGTTCCTATTATTTTCATATACTTATTAGCCTAGTACTGGATTACAGAATGTTTGGAAGTCTCTTTTTCAGGTTCAGACATAAGTAATGTTCATCCTTTTCTTGAAAGCTCAAAAGATTTATGAATTAAAGCCACAAATCATAAGTTCTCTATCAGTATGAGAAATGTTTCTTTGTACTTTTACGTTTCCATACAATGTGTATAGAAAGTCCAGTGTGTGATACAAGCATAGCTATAAACTGCCAGGTCATACAATGATGGCTAAAATAGAGTCTTAATGTGCATATATAAGTAGAAGAGATAAAAAAAAATTATCAGCAAGGTATGACATCGCTGCCTTTTGGCTAAGATCATATAAGGTTTTTTCTTAATAGGTTCAGTAACTAAGAGGAATGCATTTGGGAGTTTATGACTTAAAAGGATCTGCTTGCGTTTATTCTAAACAACATTTAACCACACGATTGTGCGTGCACACACACACACACACACACACACACACATACACACATACATTCACATAATGTCATGTCATTATATTTATCTGAGTTATATATTCAACATCTGAAGAAGTTCCTGGTGCATTACACAATGTGAAAGACATTTGTATTTTGAAAAAAGTAGTGTAGAAATTAATTTTGAATGTGGTCTTCAATCACCTATCTCCTACACAAATATAAACTCTGTGCAGAAAGCTCTGGTGTGCCTCTTGTTAGGCCCTTTCTAAATCTCATTCACAAGCATTACTTCCAAGTGTGTCATTACCTGTGCAAATATCCAGAATTCCAGGGAACATTCTGCTTGCTCTTTGCCATGCTTTGATAAGAAAGTCACTATATGCCCTTGGCTTTCAAAGGGGACTGGAGCACAAGAGTAGAGGTAAGTTTTGTCTTCCAGAACACATGGGAATCTTTAATATTACCCCTAAAAACAACATCATGAAAAGGTACTGAAAATATTGCAGATGAAAAACACTGAGAGAGAGAGTATTAGTAAGAAAAAGACAAAAAGGGAATATATTTCAAAAAGTTGAGGGCACTTTTTTTATAGATGACATTGCTCCCTCCAGAAATTGTTTGAAATACATCCATGTTTCTGCCACTTCATATGTATTTTTTTTACTTTATAGAATAAAGGCAATGCAAAATTTCATAAAAAACAATGAAAAAATAAGTTATTACATTACATATTGTTACATTTAAAGTAACTATTCAGAATGCAATATGATGGCATTAAAATTTGTCACTATTAGCAGAAACATTCCTTTTCAATGAACTAAGAGCTAATAATACTATATCTGACTTGCATTTTTCCCTTTTCCCTTGAAAGCATTATCTTTTTCTCATGGTTACTTTTCTCTCATTGCTGAATCAAAATACTGACACCCAAAAATAAGGAAGAAAAGGCTTATTATGCACACAGTGTGTGGAGGTTTCAGTTCATAATCCAATGTCTCCAAGGCAGAGTGGCACATGGCAGAGGACAAGAGTTCATGGCCCAGAAAACAGCACAAGCAACAAGAGAAAAAGAAGAGGTGCACTGAAGGGAGGACTCTTTTCCTCCCTTATATTGTGTGTATACTATCCATCCTAGGGTGGGTGTAACACTCACACCCTTAATCCCAGCATTGGACAATGAGTCATTCACAAACTGTAGAAGCATGCCTCATGACTGCACAAGGATTTGAGAGGACATTGAGACTCAAACTGTAACAGTTGTTTCTCATCCTAGTTTCTTTTTCTTTTGAACAATTTCTTCCCATTTTACAATATCTATTTTACATTTTCGACCTTATTTACTCATTCAGTTACTCACACCAGGGAGACAATGTGAATTTTATTCATGTGAGTCTGATTTACTTCACTTAGGAATATGATTTTATGCTATATTCATTTAGCTGTAAAGGTCTTAGGTACATTCTTCTTTATGGCTTAGCAGTACTTCATTGTGTAAAAATACTACACTTTTTTACCCATTCCTCAGTTGATGGGCATTTGAATTACTTCCAAGATTTAGCTATTACAAATTCTACTGCTATCATGTGTGTTACTGCATTGCATGTGTATTACTGTGGTATTTGGTTTTTCATATTTTAAGTGGCTTTTTGAATTGAGTGCCTGAGAGATCAACAAGATTTTTTGGAAGCATCTTTTGCCTTGCTTGCTCTTGGTTTTGTAGCTTCTATGATTTGGATCAAAGATCAGTTAAGCAACAAAAATTCTCCTACTGCTGTTGGACACCTTTTAATTAGATTCTGTTTCTCTGTGATATGCCCTTGAATCTCATTTTGCTTTGGTATTTTAACCCTCTTTAACTACTTGATGTATTAGTTGATATTTTTAAGTGTCCAAACTTCTATAATCTTGATATCTCAGAGAAGAGAAAATAGCTGAAATAATGTTGATAGAGACAAACCAAATATTTACATACAATAATATACTGCCTTTTTAAAAGGCAAATATACTGCCTTTAAAAGTAGAAAGGGAATCAGGAATAAAAATATGGTAGAATGTGGACTGTATATTGACATAACAGCCAGTACAAACATCAAATATAGCACCTTAATAGGAAAGAAATCAGCAACATTGGCACATTGTACAAAGTTAAACATTAAGACTTTTAATAGTGATTTAATATTAAATAGCTTGCAAAAAGGAAAAATTAAAAATTTTTAAAAAAGAAATATGAGAAGAAATATGAGGGTAATTAGGATAAAATAATCAAAGAATAA